TCCTTTCGGCGTCTCGACTGTATGCGGATTGACCGTGCTGCACTGTGCAGGAGGAAGAGGGGGGGCATGGGCGGGAAAGCGAACACCGCACCTGCCGCCGTCGCCCTCTCGCAAGGGGCCCCAAAAGCCGGGCGGAGGCGACGGAGGGACGGAGCGGAGCGGAGCGGAGCGAGCGGCGCCGACGTCGCCACGAGGGCACCCCGTGTAAACAAGCGGCGGGGGCGCCAGGGCGCCTCCGTTGGATTTGCGAGCGTACACCCTGCGAAATGCTTTAGAAACCATGGGTTAAGAAATTCATAGTCTCAGAACTTGAATAAAAACCCCAAATTCCCGTTCGAATCTTAGGATTTACATTGAAACATTAAGAATAATCGAGACCCTGGCCGAAAATTTAAGTTTTCTTAAGCATCGCCCAAGGTGTACACATGGGACGCACAGAGACATACTAATACTATATATCCTCCTTGGAGGCGCGCGTCCGACCCGAACATAGAGTGTAGACATCTTGTAGTGGATCGTTTCCCAAGCGGTGTGGCCAGAAAGCGCCCGCCACGACGCATGTACTACAAGATTTCTCGGTGCGCGCGTCGCCCCTGTGGGGGGCGACAAACCTATAGTATAAGCATGTTGGGGTGAGGTCGATACACAGGTTCCACATCCCTCAGCAGCTCGCTATCGCAGGCAACCGTTTCCCAGACCCCACTTGTAGCACGACTTCGCAGTGTCGAACAGGTGTCCGCCGAGCCACTTCGAGGGGGGGAGAGAGGGAAGGGGAGAGAGTTTCGGCAGCGAGAGAGGAGGGAACGTGAGAAGGAGAAGGCCTCCTCAGAAAGCGGCGGGACTTCTCTCAGAAATCCCCGCGCCTTCTGAGGAGGTTTCTGCGTCCTCGGGGAAGGCTGCGAACACTTCTCAGAATGCCGGAAGCCTCCTGAGCCTTCTGAGAAGTCCAGGCGTAAGAAAAATTGAAAAGACTCAAAAAATACTACACGAATGCTCAAAAAAAGTCAAAAAAAAACCATACTATGTTTTGACTATTTCTGGATCTTCCTCCTGTAGAGGGACAGGCCTGACTTAAGGCCAGGTTTTTCTCACTCCCCCCCCCCCAGCTCGCCGCCGACAGCTCGAGGGGAGAGGAGGCGGAAGGGAAGAGGGGGAGGGGCCAGGGGAGCGGAGCGGCGCGGGCAGGGCCAGTGGGAGGAGGACGGCACCGAGATGGTGATCAAGAAAGCCCCCCCACACACACACACACACACTCACACACACGCAGACACGAACACACACGCACACAACCACATCCACATCCACAACCACAACCACAAACACAAACATTAACACAAACACCAACACAAGCACAAGCACACGCTAACACAAACGCAAACGCAAACACGCACGCATGCACGCCCGCACAAACCCTGTCACAGACACATATACATATACATATACAGACACACAGACACAGACACTGACACAGACACACAGACACACAGACACACAGACACAGACACACAGACTCAGACACAGACACAGACACACTCACACACAGACACAGACAAACGCACACACACAAACACATCCACATACACACACCGCACACACACACGCACACACACACACACCGACATTCTGGAGTGCCTGCCATCAACCCACGGGCGCCCCTCTCGTCTCTGCCCCGTCGCTTCCCTCCTCCGCCTCCTCCTCCTCCTCCTCCTCCTCCTCCTCCTCTACCTCTCTCCTCCTCCGCCTCTCCTCCTCCTCCTCCTCCGCCTCCGCCCCCTCCTCCTCCGCCTCCTCCTCCTCCGCATTTGGCTTCGCCTCCTCCTCCGCCTCCTCCTCCTCCATCCTCCATCCTCCTTCATCCTCCTCCATCCTCCGTCCTCCATGCTCCGTCCTTCATCCTTCATCATCCTCCTTCCTCCTCTGCCTCCAACTCCTCCGTCCTCCCCCCTGCCGGCGGACCGGCGCATGGGGCAAACGGGGGCAACAACATCGTGCGCACCCCCCCCTACAGACTGTGACGGCCAGCCAGGGCGGCCCCTCCCGCCCCCGGCCCGCTGCTTGTCGGCCTCGGCCTCGCCGTCGGCGACACTGTCGTCGTCGTCCTCCGCCTCCTCTCCCTCCGCTTCCTCCTCCTCCCGCAAAGGGGGGGATAGCAAAGGGGGGGGTTGAGAATCAGCTCACGTAGCTGATTTTCCTGGCGCCTCCCGGCGCCGGAGGCGGCTATGTATCGAGGAATGGGCCCCTCGGGGGGCCGAAACCAGCTGCACGCAGCAGATTCCGCAACCCCCCTTTCCCGATCCCCCCCTTTCGTCCAGCCCGACCCCTGCCTCCGCCGTGCTGGCTCTGACGCGACAACACTTCTGTTCACACCCTGTCACCAGCTGGTCAGCTGGGCGCTCGAATGACTAGTCTTTGAACACGCCCTGTCACGATCGCTACTCGAGCCCGCGCGTCTGCAGCAAGACGCGCGTGAGGGGGCAAGGGAGGAAGCTTCGTTTCCCTCCTACACCTCCTCCCTCCTCCTCCTCCTCCTCTTCCTCCTCCTCCTCTTCCTCCTCCTCCTCTTCCTCCTCCTCCTCCTCCTCCTCCTCCTCCTCCTCCTCCACTGCAGGAATCTGAAGATGCCGATACCGCTGCTCCCGGACCTCTCCCCGGGTTCGTTCTGGCCCAACTCTCGAGGAGAATCCAGCCGTGGCGACGAGGGCTCTCCAGAAGAGCAGCGGTATCGGTATCTTGTCGTCCGCTGATCCTCCTGCTAGAAGGCCGGTGCAGACGCGAGCGCGCGCGCGCGCGCCCGGCGCGGAGAAGTCGCGCAGCAGCGACGGCACTGGCTCGGAGGAGAGGCCCTCGAAGGCGAATTCCTGGACTGGCTGGGCCAGCTCCAAGACCCTGCTGGGCACCACCTCCTTGCCCGTCGCCTCTCGGGGACGCAGTATTGTCAAAATGTGTGCTAAGGACGGGTGGTAAGGACGCAAGACCCTTGGAGGCCGAAGTTGGGATCTTTGTTGGCGGCGGACGACCAGTGAACACGGCAGAGGACGGGCCGCAGAGGCAAAGACACAATGGCACCCTAGATGAAAGCGCGCGTCCTTACTAGGCGCGTTGACATTAAAATGGGTCACACACATCCAGGTCGTTCGGGGCCCTGCCGTGAAACCTTGTTGGCCGCTTCGACATCACATGTGTCAAGCATGCTTTAAATCTGCGTTTTACATGTTTAAAACATGTTTGCCACATGTTTTAGACATCTGGAAATTATTTGGCAACATGCTTCCTCTCCGTTGATCGTCCTCCACAGAACTAGAGGGGGGTTGGCTGACCCCCGTGTGCGCTGATCAGGGGTGGCTAAATCCAAACAGACACAAACCCGGACGACGCCGAGCAATGTGCGAACTTACTCCGCTCGCAGTCCGCATCTTGGCAGGAGAAGCTACTTCCAGACGGAGAGGAGTCCCCCATCACGTGAGACCCGAGCCTTGTCCAGCAGCCCGACGACCACCGGGATCAACATCGGCTTCTCCCGCCGCTTGTCCTCCGCCAGGTGCTGCTGCCCGACGCCCACCCGCTGCCGCAGCGTCAGCGTGTAGGTGCCCGAGGTCGCGTCCCAGGAGCCCGTCGCCTCCACCTGCGGGGTCCCAGGTTGCAGATACCACTCCTCGTCGGCGGATACTCGAAACAAAAACGTGCACCCCAACCGGCTTATGACACACAGAAGTCGCCAAGCAGTGCTTCTCCTGTTCTACAGAAAGGGGCCTGTCTGGCGGTCCGGGTCCCGATGTTGCCGCCGTCGCCGCCCCGTCGCCGCCTCGCCTCTGGCGGTTTGGCGGCTATACTGCCGCTGTCACCGCCACGTCGCCGCCCGTCGTCAAGCATGGTCTTACGGTCTAGCGGCCATGTCGCCACCGTCGCCGCCCCGTCGCCGCCACATAGGTTGGATTGTTCCACGCAGCCTGAACACATATCTTCACCAAAGAAAGTCAAACTTTACCCCCTTATTATCATGCCGGTTTTGGGTTGTGCAGTTTACACATGACTCTCCCACTATCCATATCACCGCGGCCAATACAGCTTCGACCCCCCCATACAGACGTCAAGTAATACTATGCGCGCGCATTCGTGTATCAACAATCCACCATGTAGCATACATCACGCGCGCGTCGTTCCAGAAACCTCGAGCTTCAGGATGCCAGAACCGAGTGCCCCGAACGCTGTTTAAAATGTGTCGTTCCCGACGCCTTGTTTCAAATACCTATTCGCGTTCGCTTCAGCATCCTTTGAAAACGAGGGAGCACACACTTGTACACACGATCCTCGAATTGGGCCGCGTCGGCCTCTCGCGCGATCATGCCGAAATCGTTCGCACGCCCGTGCGCGCGTGCTGGCGGACACGGCCCCGGTCGAATGCAACAATGCGGGCCACTCGCGCCTCATACAGCGTGACTACCTATCAGACCACCCCAACCCAACCCGAAGACCCGAACTGGACCCGAATTTCGGGGGGGGGTACGGATTCCATGTGTTTTTTCAATGTTCCCCGACCCCCCCCACCGGAAACCGAGGGTAAATCTGGGCCTTCGGGTTGGGTTGGGTTGGTTTGGTGGGTGGTGAATATAGCGTACTCGGCTAATCCTCCATCGGAGCAAGCGAGGAACGAACTCACCCCCTGCGCGCTCGTCCACACTCGGCCACTCCCCGTCGATCGGGGGCCCCCCCAGGTGCCCAGAGGCCACCCCGGGAAAGGGTCACCCTTACTTGGAAAACTAACCCTGTGCGGCGGATGATAATCCCACAGGGATAATAAAAGACGGGGTCGCGGGGGGATCATGAATGTTGCCTACCGGAGGCCAGCATGTGTGAGGAGAAAGAGGTGATGTTAAGAGGACCGAAAGCCGAGGATCGAGGATCGAGATGCGAAGTCCGAGGATGGAGGATCGAGATCCAAGAGTCGAGGATTGAGGTCCGAGGATCGTTAAAAGGTACCGATACCGCTACTCCCAGGACCTCTCATGGGGTGCGCTCTGACCAGGATTGCAGGACGAACTCAGCGGTGGCGACGAGGGCATTCCAAGGGGCCCCGAAACGGAGAGCGAAGGAAGGGTAGCAGCACGGGTGCCTTCCCCTCCTCCGGCTTAGGTGGTCGAGTCGCAGCGTCGGGCCTCGGGGTCGCCCGGGTCCTGGCAGGGCCGGCGCCGTGGGCTCGGGTTTGGGGCACACGCCTCCCTGGCCGCTGGGCCAGAGAGGGGGTTGCGCAGGGACCGACCGTCCCGGCATTCCTATAGTTCTACCACCAAATGTTCAAAGAACCCGAAAATGTTCTAAGAACATCAGCGATGCTCTTAGAACATAAGCCCGACGCGTTAAACCAAGACAGTCTCGACCTTAAGTGTTCTGAGAGCATTTCGTGCAAACCACAAAAGGTTGTTAGAACATTTGTTGGTAGGCCTATCTGGCCATCGCTCGGACGTCCATTTCCTGTGTTTTTTTCGGTTTCGTGCGTGGCTTTCTCGCCAAATGATCAAGGATGTTCCTCGATGGTCCTCGCCGAAGGAAAAATGCACACGTCCGAGCGATGCCAAGCTATAGGCGAGCCAGGACGCTTCGCCACTGCTTGAGGGGGGGGGGGGGGCAGCGGAAGGGGGCCCGGGGACGAACAAGTGGAGCGGCCACGGCGGGCCTTGCCGCGAAGAGACTCCCAGACCTGGACCCGGGGACCAGCCCGACCACCCGATGAGCCCAAGGTGGCATAAAACGACGCGAAGATCGGGACAAAATCGGATCGGGATAACTCGAAACCTCTGAGAATCGGCAGGTTTGGAGGATGTATTGGGCGCCGCGGCCGCTCCAGAGCGTTCCGGAACGCTCTGAGAGCGCTCCAGAACGCTCTGGAGCGATTTATCCCGATCCTAGCCCTGTTCTAGGTCTTGTGTCAGCAACTTGACTGTGGGGCCGACGCCTCAAACCAGCATCGTCTCAGCCAGGAGAGCTCGAAAAACGTCGGGCACAAGCCACAGAAAAGGTGTGATTCCATCCTATGTCGAGCCGAGCGGAAGGGGGGGATAGTAAAGGGGGGGTTTGAGAAGCAGCTTGCGTAGCTGATTTTCCCACGCCCATGTATCGAGGAATGGGCCCGGCGGCGAGGCCGAAACCAGCTGCATGCAGCAGATGTCGTACCCCCCCGTTCCCTATCCCCCCCTTTCTTTCGGCCCGACACTGCTTGAGTCCTCGAACTGAGACAGGTCGCGGTCGTTCGCGTCCGCCATCGCGGCGCGGAAGTCGTCGCAGGAGACCGCGCTGCCGTCGTGGCGCTGGAAGTACAGGTCCATGCCCTTGCGGAAGCCGTCGCGGCCGAGGAGCGTCTGGTACATGCGTATGACTTCGGCGCCTCGCAATAGTCCTCCTCCTCCTCCTCCTCCTCTTCCTCCTCCCCATCCCCTCCTCCTCACCCTCTTCTTCTTCCTCCTCCTCCTCTTCCTCTGCCTCCTCATCCTTATCGTCCACGTCCTCCTCCTCCTCCTCCTTCTCCTCCTCCTCCTCGTCCTCCTCCTCCTCCTCCTCCTCTCCGCACGGATTTCTTGGATCGGCGCTGGGCGCTTCTCTCTGGCGCGCGCGGAGCGCCAGGGGCGACGCCGGAGGCGCCGCCAGGGGGGCCCCGTTCCGCTCCGAGAAGTCCGCTCGAGCCCCATGATGCATGTGCGTGTGAACTTGTCTGCTGTGGCAACGACTGGAGCCTCCCATGCCATCGCACTGGCTCTTGCGAATCGGCGCTGACCGACGCTGATCGAAGCTGAAGTGGCGCTAATGGATGCGACATCTGCGCTGCCCCATCGATTCCCAGGCGCTAGCGCACGCCAGTGCTCTCCTTGCGAGGATACTCGAGGCTCCCATGAGTTGCTACCGAATGCACTTGCTTTTGTTTCGAGCGCCCTTGTTTGGCGGCGAGCGAAGGGGGGGGGAGTGAGGAGAAGGCCTTCTCAGAAATCGGCGGGACTTCTCAGAAATGTGTTCTGACTTCGGGGAAAACTTAGGCACCTTCTCAGAAGGCCGGGGGACTTCCGAGATTTCTGAGAAGGCCTTCTCATTCTCACGCCCACCCCTCGCTCGCAGCTGATCTGTTGCACCCGGTGCCCGTGTGGAAAATGGCCCCCCCCCCCTCCCTGGCGCACCAAGGGCGCCGAGAGCAGCGCTGGAAGCGACGCCAGGGGGTGGCCCAGCGCCGACCCAAGACATCCGCTCGGACCTAAGAACATGTATGGCTGTACATTTTCGTTCGCCTTCGATGACGCTGACGACGACGGACGACGACGACCGAAGACGACCTGCGGCGACAGACGACGAGGCGCCGACGACGACGACGACGATGACGACGACGACGATGACGACGACGACGACGGCGGCTGGGGCGGCGGCGACGGCGGCGCAGGGCGACGACGACGACGACGACGACGACGACGACGCCGGAAGGACGAACGGAGGGACGGACGACGACGACGACGACGTCGACGACGACGACGACGACGACGGCGGCGGCGGCGGCGGCTGCGACGGCAGCGACGGCGACGGACGACGACGACGACGCCGACGTCAAGCGCCCTTGTTGTACACGGTGGCCGTGTAGAAGTTGTCCATGGCGATGTAGCTCTCGGGCCGGATGGGGTGGGCCATGGGCCCGCTGTCCTCCGGAAACTGCGCGGCCCGCAGCACGCGCACCTCCTCGATGCGCTTGACCGCGGGGCTGCCCATGTCCGCCGAGAACTCCTGAGGGGGCGCAGGACGATCAAGCTCTGAATCCATTGGGAGGGGACCTGGGTTAGCAGGGCCATAAACATGAAGGACGGGGGTCTTTTCTTCAGACGTGCCAAACCAAGCCGCCCAGAATGCCCATCCCTGAGGCAAAGAAGGGGACCCAAGAAGGACCACGTCTTCACAATGCTACCAGGGTCAGGGACTCTTATGTCCTCGATGACAGAAGGGTTTCCCAGGTGGACATCGCCGGTCGGCAAAGAGAAGTAACAACAAGTTCTGCCAAGAACGGCCCGCCGCACGACGAGGAAGAATATCCCCCGTGGCCGCCAGAGGTCCAGGCCGTGACAGATGGGCGTCGACGCAAACAACAACAGAGTGAGATGCCAAGCAACTGAACACGCAAAACGGGACGCAGAAGGGCGTGCGATCGAAGAAGACCGAGTGGCATAAACGTACGTAATCTTTCGGAGGTCTGCGCGGACTCCTTGGATCTGCGCTGGGCTCCCCTCCCCGGCGCGCGGAACGCGCCGAGGGCGGCGCTTGGGGTGCCGGCAGGGGGGGGGGTCCAACGCCGATCCAAGACCTCCGCGCGGAGCTGTCGTTTCCATGCTCGTAGCTATCGGATGCGGTTCTCAGGTGGGGTCCGAGAAGACGGGGTCGGAGGATCGCACCGTATCGCCGATGCATCGGCGAGGTGGCTGGACGTGGAGCCCGACTTTCTCCACGCCGACGTCGCGGATGCATCGGTGGTGCGGCGCGGTCCTCCGATCCCATCTGCTTGGACCCCATCAGGGAAACCTGCAACTATGCGACCCCCTCGGAGGTGCGCGTCCGAACCCAACATAATACAGACATGTCAGTAGTATAATGTCGGGTCGGGCGAAAGGGGGAGGAGGAGGAGGAGGAGGAGGAGGAGGAGGAGGAGGACGACGAGGAGGAGGAGGAGGAGGAGGAGGAGGAGGGGGAGGAGGAGGAGGAGGAGGAGGAGGAGGAGGAGGAGGAGGGGGGGGGTTGAGAATCAGCTCACGCAGCTGACTTTCCCGGCGCCTCCCGGCGCCCGTGTATCGAGGAATGGGCCCCTCGGCGAGGCCGAAACCAGCTGCATGCAGCAGATTTTGTAACCCCCCCTTTCCCAATCCCCCCCTTTCGCCCGACCCGATCCTCCGCCGCCGCCACCTCCTCCTCCTCCTCCTCCTCCTCCTCCACCTCCTCCTCCTCCTCCTCCTCCCTCGCTGCTCCCCCCTTTCGTCCAGCCCGATAATGTTACCCAGGCGGCACGACCAGAAACCGCCCACCAACGAGCATATGCTAAACGACTTCTGAGCGCGCGCGCGTCGCCCCTGGGTGGGCCGACGCGTTATGTAGTAGAAGTACGTTTAGAAGGTGCCGACTCCTGGTCGCGGAAGACGGTGAGGCCTTCCTTCAGGGTCAGCTGGAACCAGTCGCGACACGTGACACGGTTTCCGGTCCAGTTGTGGAAGTACTCGTGCCCGATCACGCCCTCGATGCGCTGGTAATCGCTGTCTGTGGCTGTGTCAGGCTTCGCGAGCGTCAGCGACGTGTTGAAGATGTTCAGGCCCTTGTTCTCCATTGCGCCCATATTGAAATCATTCACTGCGACGATGTTGTAGACGTCGAGGTCGTACTCCAGCCCGAACCTCTCCTCGTCCCATCTCATCGCGTTCTTGAGCGACACCATGGCATGGTCCAGCTGGTCCACGTTGGCCTGCTCTGAGAACACCCCCAACTTGATTTCACGGCCCGACGCCGTTGTGAACGTGTCCTCGATGCGGCCCAGATCGCCCGCGACTATCGCGAAGAGGTAAGACGGCTTTGCGAACGGGTCCTCGAAAACCGCGAAATGCCGCTCTGCGTCGTCCTCGCAAGTGCCCGCGTCGATCTCGTTGCCGTTGCCGAGAAGCACCGGGCACTTTGCCTTGTTGGCCTCGACCCGTACCCGCGTGTACTTGGACATGACGTCTGGCCGGTCTGGGAAGTACGTGAAACGTCTGAAGCCCTCGGCCTCCATCTGCGTACAATACATGCACCCGCTGAAGTACAGCCCGCTCAGCTGCGTGTTCTCCTCTGGCACAACGGTCACCTTGGTGCGCAGGCCGAAGGTGGTGGCAGTGCCAACGCCCCGGACGACCATGCCGTCCTTAGTCAGCTCGTAGCCCCCAGGGCCCTCGGCGAGCGCCGTTCCGTCGCCGCCGCCAGTGGGGACGATCTCCACGGACTCCAGCTTGAGGTCCTAGGAGAGCGGGGGGCGGCAGCGGCACGAACGTCGGGGGTCCGCACGCACTTCTGCGGCTGGCGCTGGACCCCGATCCCCATACCCCTCTTCCTGGCCATCGCTCGGACGTCCATGCCCTGTGCTTTTTTCGGTTTCGTGCGTGGCTTCTTTGCCAAATGATTACGGCAGCTCCTCGATGGCCCTCGCCGAGAAAAAATGCACACGTCCGAGCGATGCCAGGGCTTCAGGCGCGCGGAGCGCCCGAGGGGTAGCGGCGAGAAGGCGCCACCGGTGGTGGCGGACAGGGGAGGGGGAGGAGGAGGAGGAGGAGGAGGAGGAGGAGGAGGAGGAGGAGGAGGAGGAGGAGGAGGAGGCGGAGGGGCCCTGCGCCGACCCAAGAGAAAGCAACGCCGCCCCAGGAAGTCACCGACCTCCGACGCCTCGACCCGCCTCCTCGCCTCTGCTGCTGCTGCTGGCCATCGCTCGGACGTCCATTCCCTGTTTTTTCTTCGGCTTCGTGCGTGGATTTTTCGCCAAATGATCAAGCATGCTCCTCGATTGCCCTCGCCGAAGGAAAAATGCACACGTCCGAGCGATGCCAAGGTGAAATTGTGCTTGCGCATTTCTGTTCCTCGAGATCCTCCCCGTCGAGAACCAGCTCCGCACCCGGCTTGGCCACCGAGGGGTTCAGCTCGCACGACAGGAGCGCCTCTACCTGGGTGCGCCCGTCGAAGATACGAACGTCGAGCTGCACCTCTGGCCGAGGAGGAAGCGGCAGGGAGCCAGGGGAAGGCTGAAGAGACGAGACGGGCCTCACCCCAAATGCCGCTGCAAAACAAGCAGAATGAGGAGGGTGGCGAAGAGCGGGAGGAGAAGAGCGGGGAGGAAGAGAAGAGGCGGAGGACAAGGAAGAGGATGGAGGGTCGAGAAGGCTGAGCAGGATGAGGGGACCGGACGATAGAGGGGTACACAATATCGTATAGTGCGACTCTGTCAGCTACTAGCCTGCACCACCTCAGAACTTTGTAGCAACGCAATAGCATGGCTTGACCATTGAACGTGTAGAGTAACATAACACTGCACAAACATACTCTCTAAGAGATTCGCAAGGATTTCTTGCATTGGCGGTGGACCCCCCTTCCTGGAGCGCGGAGCGCGCCAAGCGCGGCGCCAGAGGCGCCGCCAGGGAGCCCATCGCCGATCTAAGAGATCCGCGCGGACCTCAGAGAAATTATGCTCCATGCGGTTGTTGGTTGTTTTTCGGCTTCCGAATCACAAGACGACGAAGACGAAAATGGATCATCTGGAACGTATGAGAGCGCCTTCCCCAGCTGCCAGCCCGCCCACCATCCTCCCAACACGACTCGGTCAGAACCAGGGAGAAGGCACCCGTCTTTCAAGGCGCAGCGCCTGATCTGCCCCCACGCCTTCCTCTTCTGCTTGTTTGGAGGAGGAGGAGGAGGAGGAGGGAGGGCGAGGAGAGAGGGAGAGGAACAGGGCAGCAGGCGCGACAGGCAGGTGGCGGCCCCCGAATACGCCCAGACACCTCCTCGCAGGCATGACCACCGTGCCGACACCCGGAGCGCCGAAGACGGCACGGAGGGACCCATCCGGGTCACGGCCAGCCTCGGCCACGGAGGGGTTCCGTGGCTCAGACGAGACACGGCCCGAACATTAGAGCCACTCGGCGTCTCGATCGCATTTCGATTTCGAGGTTCCAAACATTGTGTTTGCCTGAGTGGTCCATCGGCGTCTCGCCTGAGTGGGTCCATCGGCGTCTCGCCTGAATGGTCCATCGGCGTCTCGATCGTACTTCGAGGCTCCAAACATGATGCTTGTTTTGTTTACTTCGAGGCTCCAGAAACACCTACTAACCCCCCCCCCCAGCCACCTCACGGATCCAGTAGTTTGGCTGCCTGTAGTCCTTCCGGAACTTCTCCTCTGGCGCTGCGGTCATCACCTCGCGCTCGGGGAGGCATGTAGAGGCGGGCCAGACGAGGAAACAAACCAAGAATCTAGATAAGAACGCTTGGAAGTCCGCATCCTTGGGGCAACATGGCACGCGGAGAGAGAAAGAGAGAGGGAGAGGGAGAGAAAGCGAAATCCGTCTGCGCTCCATGATGGCATCTGGAGAGACCAGACCTACCACACATGAGTGTGAATCCTCGCGCAAAACATGCATGGATACCTCAGCGACCATCCTTGGAGTGAAGAGGAGGTTGGGGGGGGTGGAATAACGTCTCATTCAATCGACCTTACCATCAATCTCGCTATCGATCTCACGAACGGTCTCATTATCGATAGCACGATTCATCGTACTGTTGACCTAACCATGGATCTCTCAATCGATCCCACCATCCCTCTCACTATCGATCTCACTATCGCTCTCTCTATCGGTCTTACACTCGCCCTAACAATCGCCCTAACTATCGATTCCACGGGCAATCTCAATATTGATCTAACTATCGATCTCACTATCGATCTCAATAACGAGACCACTGCCGAACTGACTGGCGGTCTCACTATCAATATAATTATCGACCTGGCAAGCGATCTCACTATCGGTCTCATCATTGATTCCACTCTATATCTGACTATTGATCTCGCTATCGATCTCACAATCGATGTCACTACCACCCTCACTATCGACATAACTAACATCTCGATGTCGATCTCCCTATCGATCTCACTACTAATACACCTATCTCACCATCGGTCCTACTATCGATCTCACGATCGATCGCACGATCAATCCCACCATCAAACCCACCATGGGTCTCACTCTCGATCTCACCATGGATTTCACTGTTGATCTCACGATCGAATCTCACTATCGACCACACTATCGACCTCACTATCGATCTCACTATCGGTCTCACTATCGACACCATTGTTGATCTCGCTATCGATCCTACGATCGATCTCATTATCGATCTCACTACCCATCTCACTATCGATCTCACTATCGATCTCACTACCCATCTCACTGGACACCACGGGGCCCCACGGGATACCACGGGACACGACGGGACACGAATCATGGCACACCACGGGACACCGCGGGACACCACTGTGGGACACCGCGGGACATCATGGGACACCATTCCAGGATTCCGTCATGGGACACCACGGGACACAGCGGGGCACCGCGGGCCAGCACGGGACACCACGAAACACCAGGGAAAACCATCGGGACACCACGGCGTGACACCGCTGGACACCATCAGCACACCACCAGGACACCATCCGGACACAAATCGAGACACCGCAAGACGCCACGGAACACCATCGGGACACCGCGGCGGGACACCCCTGGCAACCACCTGCCACACGGCTCAACGGGGGGGGACTTCTGTCCTCGCCGCGCCCTAACCGGAGGAGGGTTCATTTCTTTCGCCCGCCCACGCCACTTCGCCTCGCCCGCACGCACGACACGAACCCGAACACGAAACTGGTTTCCCCAAAGGGGGGGCTCCCCCTTCCACTTCCGACCCCAAGCCCCCACCTCCGACATCTCACAGTTAGCCTGGCTAAAGACCCAAACGTTCACAACTGTGATTACCGCAACTGCCATTACCGAAATGGGGCGGGTTCGCATGCGAACACCTCCGTGGGGGCGTGAGGGGTTTGCCGACATGGGGCCAGGCCGCATTCGGACGCAGCCACACGGGCCTTCGATTGGGCTCCCTTGGGGGCCACGAAGCGTGCGAGGGGTGTGCCGAAGTCAATGGCGGTAAGGCACGCGAGCTGCGCCATTGGCACTTTCGATGGGGCTCCCAGTGGGACCACGAAGCGTGTGAAGGGCGTTACGACATGAGTGGTGGAGACGCATGCGAACTGCGCCACGGGGACCTTCGGTGGAGCTCCGCGTGGGGTCACGAACCGACATGAGTGGCGGGAACGCACGCGCACTGCGCCATTGGGACCTTCGGCGCGGCTCCCCATGGGGCCGCTGAGCGTGTGAGGGGTGTGCCGACATGAGTGGCCAATACGCACGAGCAGCGCCACTGGGACATTCGGTAAACCTCCGTATTGGGGTACGAAACGTGTGTGTGGTGTGCAAAAATGAATGGCGGGGACGCATGCGAACTGCGCCAGTGGCGCCATTTGAGGCCACGGAACGTGTAATGAGTGTGCACAAACTGATACCGATGATGTTGTTGATGCTGGTGATGTTGATGATGATGATGATGATGATGATGATGATGATGATGATGATGATGATGATGATGATGATGATGATGATGATGATGTTGCGGAGGATGCTGATGAGATGATGATGATGGTGACGTTGATGATGATACTGTCGTTGATAATGATGTTTCTGTTGGTGATGCTGATGGCGGGGATGGTGGAAAGGAAAATGATGATGATGCTGATGCTGATGATGATGAAGACGATGCTGACGATGCTGCTGCTGATGGCGATGGTGATGCTGCTGGTGCTGATGCTGCTGATGCTAATGATGCTGATGATGATGGGGGTGATCAAACGTGACTGAAAGAGAGGAGACGAGGGCAAGCGGACAAGAAACGAGAAGAAGGCAAGCAAGTCGAGCCCGCTCCCTGCCAGCAGCCGCTACGTCTACTTCAATTGGCTGGAATGTTCAGCGTTACTCGATGCGGCTAGAACCTGCGGGATGCGCGCAAAGGGTGACGTGTATTCGTTGCTCCGGAAAAGTAGAAGAACAAGGTGGGATGGGCGGAAGCGGGGGGAGCGAGGGACGCCAAAAGAAGGACAGCGGGGGAGGTGAAGCAGAGGCAGAAGACCTGGCATGAGCGGGCATCACGTATGGTTCAGACTCGCCGCCCCGCGCGCCGCTGGCCACAGCATCGCCCTTGGGGGGCGGTCTCATCTCCAGCGAGCGCGCGTCGAAGCAGCGCGGGCAAAGGTAAGCAGCTCCAGCGGCGGCACGAGTGACGGGAACTTCAGGACTACCAGTGTTTGCGATGCTGCGTTCGCTATCGCTCTCAGTCAATGTGAACCTCGTGAAGTCCACCCAGGCGTCGAAGCGACGATAGTAGGGGCGCTTGTTCTTCATAACTCTGCGCCGCATGACCCGCCACCACTCTTGGAACAACGCGCTGTGCAACGGCTGCGTCCGCTTGGACACGTAGCGGCGTATGGAGACGAATCGTCGCAACGACCTTACCGCGAGATCACCACCAGCGTCGGCAGCAACAGGTACGTGCAGAGGGCCGTCGCTACCATGAGGCGCACCAGAAAACGCTGCAGGAACGAGTGTATGCAGAAGAACTGGACGAATATGTTGTTCGCCACCGGCGACGCTAGCAGCGTGAACGCGCAAAGGATCATCAACACATTGACCAGGGGGGTATCATCATGCAGGTCACCAATATGGCGACGAACTTTAGATTTGAGGAACGGGAGGGGCATGCAGAACAGTGTGCACAGGATCGCTCAGGGCGGCAGGAGCACCAACAGCGGTCGATCCGGGGCGCTCTCGAGCACCGGCGGGGTCCCCACCACCATCATGTGCATGTTGACAAAGACGTTGGTGCGTATGTTCGCCACCAGTAGCGGCAGTAGCAGGAGCGTGCCGAAGATCGGCGAGAGCAGGTTCGTGCAAACCGTGTTGGAGCGGGAGAGGCTTGCCACCAGCAGCGGCGGACGCAGGAGCATGCCAAGGAACGGCAGGAGAAGTTTCATGCAGAGCATCATCATGAAGAGCTTAAGCGAAATGGTTAAGATGAACATCGGCAACCACTCCAGACGGGGCGGCGCGAGGACAGTCATGCAGATCAGCTTCGGGGTGTTCGGGGCGTGCAGCGTCAGCCACTCCGGGCGGCAGGACAGCATGAACGTCCTCATGCAAAGATTTTCCAGGATGGCCATCCTCACCGGCTCGAACTTCTGAGCCACGAATTGGAAGATCATGCAGAACTCCATCATCAGCAGCATCACAGTCGTTAGCACCGCTGTGCCGCGGGCGAGCGTCACCAGCGGCAGCAAGAGGTGCTTCGTCGTCGGCAAGTGGGGTTAGCGGTCCAGCGCCAGCACCACCGCGGAGTGGAGCGGCAGGAGCTAGTGGTGGAAGATGTCCAGCACCTTCAGGAGGACGAACGTGCATGTTCTTGATGAAGTTCGCGACGGCGGCGAGCTCGCTGTCGTAGCAGATGACCAGCGGGTACGAGGGGCCGCGGAGCTGGTGTCGGTGCTGCCACTGGCATGTGGTGATGTGCAGCAGCTCGTGGAGGCAAACATAGATGAAGGAAAAGAGGCTGCCGAGCAGCAGGCCGGTGTGCGTGTCCGCCGTGCAACACCTGGCAAGCGCGCCGATGAAGGGCACCCTCACTTCTACGATGTGGCATGACGAGCAACATCAGCAGCGGCAGCAACGGACGCCATCGCGTGGGCATATAGAACCCTGGTCCTCGAACGGCGCGGCGCTCGGCCAGGTGGCCTCGATGTAAATGGCCATGGAATTCATGTTTGCCCACGTGGGGAGAAATCCCACTTGAGCCAAAATGGCTACGGATGATGATGATGGTGATGATGAACACGATGCTGATACTGATGGTTATGACGATGATGTTGAGGATGATGGTTGATAATGACCATAATGGTGACGATGAGGATGAGGATGATGATGATGAGGATGATGATGCTAATACGTATGCTGATGATGTTGATGATGATGTCGATGCTGATGCTTATGTTTATGCTGATGCTGTTGCTGATGATGATGATGATGATGGTGGAGAGGATGCTGGGGCTGATGATGGTGGTGGGAGGAGGGAGGAGGGGGAGGAGGATGAGTGAGAAGGAGAAGCGCAGTGCGCTGCCTCTTCAAGACGAGGACCAACACCACAGGATGGTTGGGAAACATATGAATAACACCATCAAGGCATTAAGGACCCCCCTGGGGTTATCATTAGCACAAAGCCTTAATCAAATAATTCTGGGGGGCGGTTTTCGCAGAACGATATGATTAGTACCGCACAACTGAAACGAAACTAAATGATTCCCGCGCCCCGGCTTGGGTGGTATCCCAAGTGGAATTGGAATAATGATAAGGATTGGCATACGAACAATAATGATAAGAGTCAGAGTAACGATAATACGAATAAGTGTAAGAATAAGGATAATACAAATAATAATAATGACAATGATAATTCGAATGCGAATAATAATACTAATAACAAGAACCATCAGAATGAAAAACGCATACTACTAAACTAATAATGATAATAATGGGACTAAGGATAAGGGTAAGAGAACTAATCAACAACTAATAATAATAAGACAAATGCTAGAAGTGAAACATGAGAAGAATACTACGAACCATAATCATAAGCATAATCATAACCCGACTAAGAAGCATAATAGCTGTAAGAATAAGCATAATAAGCAAAACCATGGTAATAATAATAATGCGACTAATAATAATGCTATCACGAAAAACATATGTTCTCACTATCTTTACCATCCTTGTCCTATGCGATTATTGTTGCCACCCCTATTGAAAACATGTTTGTTTCCCGGCAGACGTGTGGGGTAGAGCATCCGAGGATATCGCCCCCCGCCACGCACGGCGCGTTATCTTAGCACCGCACCCGCACAATATGATTCCGACAGCTTGAACAAAAGACAAGAAGTACAATAATACCAATGATACGAATACACATTACAAACATACACATAACAATAATAAGACTAAGAATGCGAATACGAATAACAGTAAGGATAATATAGATAATGATAATGCAAACACAGACGGGCTCCCCTGCTTCTGTCCTCCCTCCCTCCTTTTTTTCAATTTCTTCATCATCCATGTCCTATACGATGATCATTGCCACCCCTATTGAAAACATGTTTTTCCCGGCCGTCGTGAGGGGTAGTGCGCATCCGAGGATATTGCCCCCGCCTCGCACGGCGCGTTATCTCAGCACCCGCACCGCCAAAATGAATCGCCCCCCATCGTAGGCACGGACGGATCCTTTTCAAAGCTGGGCTCTCCCTTGCGTGGGACTTCATGTTGTTATTGTTGGTGTTGGCGGTATTGTTGGTGTTTTCGATGTTGATGTTGTTGTTGTTGTTGCTGTGAATGGCCTTGTTCTAGATATAATTATTATAACTGGTTGTCTTGTCGTTGTTCGTGTTGGTGCCGTGCCGTAAGGAAGTCTTGAGGAGGAGGAGCAGGAGGATTTTTTTCTGTTTAGCTGGGCCAGAGCCTCTTGACTCAGGCCTTGGCCCTCGGCTTGATCCGTAATGGCGAATAAGAGCCAAAGTGGCGATGGGGGGGAGGGGGAGGAGAACGAGGAGGAGGACCCCTGATGAGGAGGAATAGGAGGAGAACCCTGAGAAGGACGAAGAGGAAGAGGAAGAGGACCCCTGCTCGGAAGGCCGAGCGATGGGAAGACGCGCGGCCACTCCAGTTCTCGCCCAGACCTGACGCAGACTCGTCTGCGTCCAGAGCAGTTTCTGAGGATGTCTCAGGCAAGGCGCTTGTTTCAGAACCACAAGGACAAGGAGACCATGTTGCGAGAATGTCTCAGGCGGTTTGCTTGTTTCGGCGAGCAGACTCGTCTGCGTTCACATAAAAGTTGCGAGGTGCCAGGGTAACCCTTCTGGGGTGCCGGGTGTTTTATACTTTCGCCGGAGAGGGGGGGGGTTCTTAATTGCTTGATGCGGTTACATACAGACACACGAACGTCGTAATTAAGTCGGCACCATCCCCTTTGCCCCCTCCCTGAGGCGGGTCCGGGGGGGGGATCCCCGTGGACAGGGGGAACTCAAGGCTCCCCTCCTCCCCCCCTCAGTACCCACTGTGGACAACGGGGGGGACAAGGTGTGATCCCCCCTGTCGACAAGGGGGACTGGAGGAGGGATTCCCCCTGCGGACAGGGTGAACTCAGGACCCCTCCCTCTCGGGTGGTCCCCCCGCGGACAGGGGGAACTCGAGGCTCCCCCCCCCGCACCCCCCCCTTCTGGACGAAGGGACCACCCCTCCAAGGGGTGTTGCCAACGGTGAAGGGGCCCTGAGACACAAAAACAAATACACACAAATAAACGGATTCCCCATATTTTCCTTTATTTCTGGGTTTTTGTCTTCCCCCCCACTTCCCATATTTTCCCATATATTCTTTGGAATCGACGATTAATTGTGTCTGTATGTTTTTCCCAACCATCCTGTGGTGTTGGGTCCTCGTTTTGAAGAGACGTTGCCCCGCGTTCCTCCTTCCTCCTCCTCCCCCTCCTCCTTCCGCTATCATCGGCATCATCGGCATCATCATCATCATCATCATCATCATCATCATCATCATCATCATCACCACCACCACCATCATCATCATCTTCTTCCCAACCATCCTGTGGTGTTGGGTCCTCGTTTTGAAGAGACGGTGCCCCGCATCACACCGAGTACAGCGTTTCGTAGCCCCACAGGGAGCTCCACCGAAGGCCCCAGTGAGGGTGCCCGCATGCGTCCCGCACACCCAGTACAGCGTTTCGTGGCCCCACAGTGAGGGCCGCACAGTGCGGCGGCCGCCGACCCTGACGCTCCTGACGACGACGATACCCAGGAGGAGGAGGATGAGGAGGACGGGGAGGTGGAGGACGACGGGTAGGGGAGGACGGATATCAGAGTGGAGCAGAAGAGCACGGGGAGACATCTTGGCCAGGAGGGTGAGACCTCAGACTTCCGATTTGGTTCGCGTCGAGAAGCCCCTGGACCTCTCGACTCCATCCTGGTGGCCAGTCCCGGGTAGTATTTGTCTAGGGCCCCACCTTCCGATGTTTGGTCGCGTCTCGAAGCCCCCGGACCTCTCGACCCCTTCCTGGTGGTCAGTCCTGGGTAGTTTTGTTTAGGGCCCCAGCGCCCAGAAGCGGCCTCCAGAGGCCGCGTTGTGTTCATGGCATCGGGGCTCAAACATCGAGGCCTCGATCGAGGAGAGGGCGAATTGCAGACCGCCGAGCAGGCGAGACAGCATGGCGATGATACGGGGGGAAGGGGAGAGGAGGGGGGAAGGGAGGAGCCAGCAGCGGAGGAAGACGAGGGAGGGACAGGGAGGGACATGCAGAGGGTGAGGAAGGAGGGAAAGGGAGGGAAAGGGACGGAGGGGGTTGAGGGAGGGGGAGGAAGGAAGAGGACGGAAGAAGAGGGAAGAGGAGGAGAAAGAGGAGGAGGGGAAGGAGGAGGCTGAGAAGAGAGGGGGAGGAGAGGAGGAGGAGGAAACGGAGGAGGAAGAGGAGGAGGAGGAGGAGGAGGAGGAGGAGGAGGAGGAGGGAGAGGGGAGAGGAGGGAGGAGAGAGCAGGGAGGAGGAGGCAGGAGGAGGAGGCTCGCGAGCTGCCAGCTCGGCTGGAGTCGTGCGGCAGCGACCGCCTCTCGCTCCTTGCTGGAGTCCTCTTGTGCGAGCTTGGGGCCCGCCTCTCGCTCCAGGCTGGAGTCCTCTTGTGCGAGCTTGGGGCCGTCTTGGGGCCTCGAGGATCGAGGTTCGAGGTTTTTGCCATTCGAGGGGCCCCCTCGTCACCACGGCTGGACGCGGTCCGGAAAACTGGCCAGCTTGGACCCGGGAGGGGTCCGAGGATCGATTTCGAGCAGGTGCTGGCCCAGGGCGCGCGAAGGGGGTGGCCTTCCAACAAGCCAAGGGGGGTTAATGGAGGGCTAGCAACGCAGCTAGCAAGGCTTTCCGAAATTAGCCACTTGTGCGCAAGACGGTTTCACCATCAACTGGCGTTGTTAGTGTTTCTCTGCCAGCCGACCGCGATTCGGGATGAAACGGGGCTCATGGGAACAAGTCCACTGGTTTGATGAAGAGACACCACGTGATCGTGACCCAACAAACTATCATAAGATGAAAACTTGCAAAGGTTGTGGACATATTGTGCGCGTTGGTAAGTTTGCAACGCATGGCATTCCAAGTAGCGACAATAATCCAAAACATCCGACGACGAATTACAACACTTGCTAAGCCAGTGTGTTCGAACGCCGACATATCTTTATGCGACGCCGTTCTTCTAATCAAGTCGTGTTTGTGCGGACTTGACCAAATATTATGGCAGTGTAGAAAACCTTCGTGCCATGACGTTCACCGACGCCGGTCGGCTCAATATGTGTTCAGATATCATTCATGTACGTAGAACAGTTGGCTTCTCGATTCGCATGTCAAACACCCGCGACACCGACATATTCACAGTGGTACAGCGCAGTGTATTGGAGGTTCACGACGCCGTCACAGCAAAGCATCATGTCTGGAAGATTTACGCGTTCTTTACCTGAACGTGTATTTGCGAAGGACGGCCCTTTCTGAGCAATCAAGAAACGCCCTGGCCACGAATGCCTTCCCTTTCTTCCAGAACGACGTCTTTAGGCATGGATATTTTTTCTGGACAAGATTACTGACGTTTTACTGGATCTCCTCAAAGCCACGTCCTTTGCCCCGTATGGGCGGGCCCTGATGCCTTATGCAAACTGGGTGGAGAGAGGCGTTCTGTATCTCAAGGTTGGCCATAACCTGTGCGCACTAAAGGATGCATTGG